ATTCATTTGGCTAGCGATGGATTAAGGGGGACACAAGTAAATCGTCGCTTAGTTTAATTCCAGGCACTGAATCATAGGTACTCACAAATATCGTGGAAACTTTTCACAAAACCATAACTTATAGTTTAAATCGGAAAAAGTTTGTCATATCGAAGTTCGTGAGGAAAATAAAGAGTGTAAGTCAGCTGAATCATCATGAGTTAAGCTGAACTGGGTGGGGGATATTCCAATTTCACCCAGATTCTGAAAACAGCTCCCAAGTTTGCATCGGGGAACTTCATCACTCGGTCCGAAGCAATCGACGTCGTGGACTATGAGCCCGACATGAAAGTGCGAGGGACGACGATGGCTGAAAATCACAGCTTCACTGAGGTACTGACATCATGTCATATCATGAGAATGTTGGGAATAAATACGATGCCTCCACTGGCTTAGCCGATACTCGGACTGTTGCCGGAACGCAACGCTTTTCAGGTAACAGAGCTTGTAGAAGAGCTTCTGGACTCTAGAGACCCCAGTACTCGATACTTCATTTTTCCTACCGTCGGCGTGCTGAGGAGGAATCGGAACCGAGAGGAACACACTGTCACCGATTTTTTACGGACGCTACTGCATGACGATTTTGGTATGATCGGAATCCAGTGGGATCGATTGACAACACAATTGAGGATTGATATATGATTGGATAATGACATGTAAATCAATTTCAGGCAGTGACCGCTCAGGAAAGTTACCACTGGACGAGCTGATGGATCGTTGCTTCCCTTACTATCTCACGACATTTCATGAGACCGTGGTCGAAGGGAGAACCTTCAATGACCCAAAAAGGCATTGTAATTCAACAGTATGTGCCTGTACCTGTAAAGAAAGTCGGGATTGGATTTACTGTCAACACGGGTACTGTGTGGAAATAATTTTAAACGGGAAACCTCTGTAAGTTTGGCTTCGCGTCCGCGTAATGCGGATCCAATTTCATAGGTATCTCCGAGACGGTCGTTTGCTGCCGACAGTCCAAACAGGACCTCCTTCCCGCTACCGAGGAGGACTACACGTTTCGAACACACCGCGGCCACCAAAAACTGCAAGTACTACAGCCAGTGATATCGATCGTGTCAATGATTGGGATTGTTTCTGAAGCCGTCGTCACCGTCATTACTCAGGACTTTCTGCAGCAGGCAGGGGAAAAGCGCCGTCAAATTCTCACATGGATGTCAATAGCTGTTGGAGTGAAGCAGAAGCGAGTTCGGAGAAAGGTGAACGCCACAGTACCATAAGCGAGGTATCCCTGCCTACCCGACATGAGACGAACCGTTCGTACTCTTGCTCTCGGCCCGAGGAAAAGAATTTAGAGCAGCAATGCCACCATGGGAGCGTATGGAGTGAAGTCAGTGCTGGAGGACCAGCAATCTGCGAGTACAGCGTCTGCACTAGTCCGATAGATAAGTGGTCGGTTGCAGAATCTAGGGTGTCCGTGAACTCAGAATCTCATACTTCGGAAAGTTCTGCCACTGTTCATGCTGCATCGGTCACTGACAAAATTTCAATTGCGTGCACCTCGACCTCGAAGTCCTCGAGCATAGAGAACGGTAGCGTGGATCAGAATGGATCGGGAGGGATGTCGAACGTAACGTTATCCCCTTCGTCGGTTTCGTCATCGAGCTGCTAATAAGTAGCGGAAGCAGTACCCGATTCATGCGCACACTCTAAGAGGAGCCGATAACTCCCCTCAGGGTGAAGTCACAATCACCTGCATGTTCTCAAGCTTTGAAACTGTACAAATGGGTTTCATCATGCCGTGTGGTGGTTTGCGTTGTCTCTGAGTGAGAACGTAATTTCCGTGATCACCTTTGGGGAACGAGTACCGCAAGGAGTCGAAGAAGCCGAGAAGACCGGCCCGGTTTATTCGTGAAGTCCTTTGAAAGCTTGAGATGACTTAGAAACAATCACCAAGTTAGAGTGAAATACCCAAGAATACCAATCCCTCTGCTCGGAAACAAGGGGAACAAGCATGCCCCGAAATAGCATGACGATACTCGATTGTCAACTTTGTACAAGATTATACGGCGTATAATATACGCTAAGTACTGGGTTAGACCAAATACGCTGATGATGATATGAGTCGTCAGAGAGTTTAGCGAAAGAGTTTTCCCTAAACTTTTCCCCGGTTATTCCAGATTTTTCCTAACTTGGGGTTCGCTCTTCATGCTGGTATCTTAATTCGATCAAATTCGCCTGGGGAAGTGCGCCCAGCAAGTCAAGTCTTCCGAGTAGCATCACTTCAATCCAGGAAATAGTGTAAGTGATCCGCTCTTCTTCAAGAATGATTCTTGGGCCACTCTGGATTAGGCTCTCTAGATTACAGCAGCCGTAATGACTGGACTAATTCGATAATCTGTAATTAATATCCCAGTCAGCACTTGGAACGCTACATTATATATATCACGCGGACTTCCTTCAGAGTCAAAACGTGCTGAGTTGCTCGAGAGCAGATAAGCGGGTTTTGACTAAGATTGGAAAGTTTTCCCGGCACTGCCGGGAAGCAACTGCAGTATACCATATACTGTTTATGGCCGGCGCGAGCGTATATAGGGACGGCTGCGTGTCGATCCCCACTCCAAGCCTTGGAGTCCAAGGGCCTCTCTAAGAGCCTCGTGTTTCTCACGCGCCCAATATCGTGACGCCGATAGCGACACGTGCACAATGCGTCCCGTGCAATACACGGTGTGTATTGCACCCGTTTCTATGAGGCATGGTTTGCCAAGTCTTTTGGTCACCGTTACTGGTTATGACCTGTCTTTCTGTAACCTCTCATTTCTCATCTTCTGATGCGAAAGTCATACAACCTATTCGAGACCCCATCTTCAAGGGTTATGCCCGGGTTTGATCCACCCGACGCTACACTATTCACACTCGCGTACAAGTTTTACGGTAAAACGCTTTTATTCCTATTTCCTGAGCAACCCCACTCCACAGTATACGATTTGCGGGTTTTGACTAAGATTGGAAAGTTTTCCCCAAATCCAGGCCAGTTTTCCACAGACGTGAAGATGGGTTCCGGAATCCGGAGTTTTAGATTATTCTTGTTCTGGAAGACCTACATTTCGTGCGGTCTGCTCACGCGTGTGGACTTCGTGAATTATTAAAGCTGCGCGGACCGTGTAAGCGCGGAGTATCACAATGGAACTCAGATAATCGGAAACCTTTTCCGATTATCTACACATTCTTCCTGTCGTGCTTACAATAAGTATTAGAGTCTACTCTAATACTTATTCCGCTACTAGCGGAATATACCTAAGTTTTTGAATTCCACACTGAGCTCACAGAAATTTCTAATTAGTTATGCGCCTTTAAAAGAAGTTTTTTTAATCCTTATAAAGTACTCTACCCCACTCTGCCTCACACAGTCTCAGGAAAGTACTTACTACACTACGGAATGCTTACACACGTCCCATGGCTCTAACAGCGACGACCCACAAATTCCCTGGTCTCCATGGTAGATCCGTGACAGGCGTCACCGTAAAGGGTGCTACCCAAGGAGACACTTTCAGTGACACTGTCCTCCTCCCTCACGTCACTCAACGTGATGGGGAAAGACGCTGGCATGCCGGAATCATCATCGACTTCAGAGATATACCATTCTAGATATCTCTAGAACCCGCGAGGCTAAGAACCATTCTGCAATTTTGAGACCAGCATACTTCACTCGAACATTCACACTCGGGTGAACTCTTGTAGTTGGCATCTTCCCACTTATGCTTCTGCAGCGTTTCAAAGCTCTCCTTCCAGACTGCTCGCAGGTGCAACTCTGTCCGAGCTTGTTCACGATCATCTTCACTGCCACAGCTGGTGTGATTGGATTGAAGGTCTTGAAAGCAGTCAAAGAAATGATCGGGCCTGCGCCCTTTCCTGGACCAGGAGTAAGGCAACTTACTTCGCTTAGGAAGGAGGAAGGCCATCCCTCGATTCTATCAGATGAGCTTTGTTTTCCGACTCGCCCGTATGTCACCTGAGGAGAAGTTCAAGGAACTACTCAACGTGTCCAAAAAATATGGACGAATCTGTTGCTTCAAGTAGGCCCATGATGAATTAAATGTGATTGAGATGTATTGCAGAACACCGACTCGCCAAGTCCTAGTAGTGACAGACATCGCAGTCTATAAGAACATCATGAAGCGACGCCCGAGAGAGTTCAGCGCACCTGACGTCCCGAATATTATGGACTTAGAGCATATGGCTGCGGCTGAGGGCAAGATGTGGCAAAAGCATCGGAAGATATCATCACGCCCCCTCATAGAGGCCAATCTAGATAAGTTGTTTCCAATGATCTCTCGTTCTACCCAAAAATTGGTGAGTGGCCATTCATACTTTTCATGCAGTCTATAGTATATTTCAGACCCAGAGGCTCGAAATGTCGGCTGATAGTGCTGGAACAATCGAATGGGAACCTCTGCGAGACCTTCAGCTATGCGCTGCAAGAGTTGCTTCAGCTGTATACATGGGAGAGAGTGATCCGGATAACTCCACAAGCAAGAACTCGAGTTGATGATTGATCCCATATATTAGATTCCTCAGATCCAATTTTCACGATTGAAATGCTGGATGATCTTTGGGGCATCATAAGTGATACATTCACGATAACTTTAGAACCTACAAGTTTCCTCTACCACGATCGATTCTTGTATACGTTCATGTTCCCTTCGGTCAGGAAGGTGAACTCGAAAGCTGAAACCTTCGAATATACCCGGACGCTCTTCAGTTTGCCCAACGATGGAGACGTATCGAATTAAGACTCATCCAAAGTATTTACTGGCAAACACCAGAAGGAGGAGACCGTTGCCGTATCGGCAAGAGCATTCTTGACAGCGCGGGGTCTGAATACAGCGACTCGGAGTTGGCACACACCCTTGTGCTGTAAATTCTATTCCAGTGTCATCTACACATATTATTAGATTCTCCGACTCAGATACCTTGCTGCAGGGGCCGAGACTACCTCAAACGCGATGGCTTGGCTACTTCATAATCTCTGTATTCACCCCGAAGCTCAAGAGAAGGCGAGAGCTGAAGCGGACTTGGTTCAAGATCTGTCGGTTGAGTCTATTCATAATATACCTTTCATTGAGGCTTGCACGCTGGAAACTCTTCGTGTAGGTTCGGGCTCAACTTGTTTCTAGAAACTCATTGGAAGACTATGATGAATGATTATTAAATCTCAAATATACTGCTTCACTTCAGCTCAATCCATCTATCCCGGTCAGCATCAACAGAGCCCTTGTCAATTGTGGAGTAGCAGGGAAAACAATCAGGGCCGGCACTCAACTTATCTTCCCGTTGGCTCAGATGATGAAGGATAACTACGAGCACGGTGACGAGTTCAGGTGAGTGGCCGATCTCACAGTTTCAAGGAGTATGAATGCCTCTAATCAGGCCTGAGCGTTGGTTGACACCCGATGGCAGCACTATTGATGAGAACAAACGTTCAGAGTTAATTTCATTCGGATTTGGTCCCAGACAATGTCCAGGGAGGCATCTGGCAATGAGAGAGCTTCTATGCTTTGCTGTGGAGCTCTTGCACACCTTTGAAGGCTTCCGCCTTCTTGAAGACCGGGTTGTAACTCCGAAGTTCTCCAATTTGCTGACAAGTTCTGGGAATTTGGTTGTAGCTATGCAGTGCCGGAGGACTTGAGTAGTCGAAGGTTAGTAACTTTTTCTATCGAACTAGTCTACTTTAGTGGTGCTCTACAGCAGCAGCCAGCAGCTGCTGCTGCTGCTATCAGCAGCCGCGTCCGGCAGTTGCCGCTAGTATTGAGCTCACTTTGTATTGAGTATTGAGTATCCGTCATCTCCGCACAATTGTATTTCGTAGGGTTGCGGTGGTTTGGGAATGATTTGAGGCAAGCAGCGAACTTGTTATATGAGACATGCGCATTTTTACTGTTAAGCAAGGCCTCTTGTAATTAAAGTTTCGAAGATTGATACCGAGTAGAGTCGTCCTAGAGGGATTACATAGTTCATGACAGACCACGGAGCAGCTCCGTCGGAGCTCACGCCGGTGATATGTGTGCGGGCGCTGTGGTGCGTCCGAGGTTACTACGAGCTCGTTAACTCGTGTAATGAGAAAAGTAGTGTGAACTCGCTTCGTAAATCGAGGACTTCATAAGTCATACGTGATATCGAATCGATCGACTTGGCCTTGGCCAAGGAGAATCTCCTTAGGAGATGTAGATGCATGACAATCGTATGCAGAAAATGCGCTGCATTCACCATCAGATGGCTGCGCATCATGGCTCAAATTGTTAGGGGCTAAATTTGAAGCGAGCATGGTTGGTCCAGCCAGGTTGGAGCAGTGAGCTGTCGCGGGCCTTCATCGTCTATTGAATCTAACCAGGGACGTCCTCGGAAGTGACAAGGCTGATCGCCAGAGGTTCTTCAGAACCGCCACTTGCGACGGCTCTGACTTATGAACGATCGTGAAATGGGAGGTTTCAATGAATGAATTCAAACCTCCCACGAGGAGAGACTTATCTAGTATGAATGGTTAATACATACCCATTCACTTGTAGATTGACAGCGTTCGTAATCAGAACAGGTAAAGAAGTGGGTCTCCGTCATTATGATATTGTCTGAAGCTCTGGCGGATATCCTTCTGGGCGGTTAAGTTGAAGGGAGGTGGTCACAGCTCGGGAGGGACCTCATGGAAGGATCGTGAACGTTGAACGGTATGAAGCCCCGATATCCCAGAATGTGCAGATTTCCTCGGAAATTCCGACCTCACTTGCCATGTGTCGGTGAATGGCTCACCTCTACAGATTGCGTCACCCAATCCCGTTACTTTCACTGTGTTGTGATTTCCTGCTTAGGGAAAGCGTAGCTTCTCCACGGTTGAAACCGTGCCAGAGAGTTGTCTTTCGGCGAAGCCTGGTTTGGGACAGCGATTGACGCAATCGGTGCTGGCACAAGGGAAAACCGGAGTCCTTCAAGCTGTCAAGCTAGTCACACAAGCCAGACTGCCTTGACAACCTGGAGTAGTCTATGTGTTAAGCGTGATATTTTTTTACCGAGGTCCTAGGAGCACTTCAGGTAGCAAGCTCCAGTGGCTTACGACAGAAGCTTACTATCCTGAGTGTACCTTGCGTGTCATCTTCTGCAGTGCCCAGATGGCACTCGTGTGTCGACACGCGCCCTGCCACAACTCGGAGGCTAGAGATTCCACTCTGACTTGAAAAACCATTGTTCAAATATGCACCACAATACCGTAATACTTTTTAAAACATTATCTAGCGCGGAAAGACAAACGCACAGCCTAGCCGAGAAAATTATACAAGAATATCACAAACTACAAACGGTACCCTTGTCGTGGGGAGTTCACTGGACTGACAGTTTGGATGCATTCGGACTAACGAAGGCATTCATCGTCCAGAGCGTCTCGCAGGTATAAGCACATCTCCCATCAACTAGTTGGAACTCAAGTATAAGGATGTAGATCAGTAGTTCTGATTATGAACTGGGTGAGCCTTAGCACTGTGTGAGTTGTGTCACAAATGCACGAGGAAGACTTTCACACTGAAACACCATACGTTATGATACTTGCCGTATCGGAGCATAACTCTTCCAAAACCTCAGAATATGGTGCAAACAGAGAAGGGAAGAGTTCAACAGTTCAAATTAGCTGAGCTTCACATGAGAGTAGTGGAGCCTCTAGCTCGGGTTTGTATAGCACATGACAGTAATGGGATGTTGGTTTGCTCAAACTACGCTCCTTCCATACAGACATGTCTCCCACTCTTCTGGGTCCCTCATCGTTTTTTATGGAGTAAAATGGCTACGGTACCGGATTTTCTCGCTCCCCACCATTATCGGTGGGGACCATCACAGGCCCGCTATAAGGAACTTAGCTTCTTAAGAGAGGACCTACTCTGTGATCAAGTCCCTTGGAGCACTGCCGTATACTCCGAATCGTTTAGTAAACGTCGAGATGCTGGTCTCCTCCTTTTAAAATCGTTACGAAGCGTGATCGGCTCCTGAGACATGATGATGACTGTAGATTCTACGGGTTGGGAATAACAGCAGCCATTCCTTCTTAGGTTGTAGGCTGTGTACTCTCTAGACTACGATCACCTCCTTTTCTACGATGGCAGCATGATAGAAGGTGGCCTGAGGCAAAAGTATTGTGGGAACGATGTAACCATACACAACACCGACCAATGATTTGCTCGTGGTCAAACTCGGCAGCTCATCCCGTTACTCGATCTGTTGATCAAGAACCTGTCTCAGTATACACTATCAGAACATTACTGATCGAAGAGGGTCCACTACAGCTCGCAATGGTCAGTATGCAACCGTAGTATTGCTTGATATCACCCTCCGTAGAGTTTGTAGAGAATAATTGCCGACGTTAACAACACAAGTCTCTGGTTTAGTGTACATCATCAGTGATATACTTCATTGGAAACAATCAGCTGCATTACTCGCATCACATGGGCAGCAAAGCACTAATCATCGCCTACTTGGCCGTTTTCAGTTGTGAACTCGAGTCGACGACCTAGATGAATGGCGGCAACAATCAACTCCTATCGCTGTCCAGTCCGTACTGAAGAAGGTCATGCCGCGGGAGTCACTTCGATTAGGTCTAGTTCCACTATCGCAAGGCGAGTCCGTTCCATACAAACTGCCACTCAGAGGCGAGAGGCTCGAATGCCCACTGAAAGAGGCAACTCAGTAACGACCATAAAGCCCATGGTCGAATACTCCTCCTCTTCGTCTTCATCGAGACCATCTACATCGTAGTATTCGTCAGCATACATCAGCTCGTCGCCCTCTGTCGAAGATTTGCTCCCTCTAACGGCTCGATCGACAAGTAGGCACACGACGGCTAGTGATACCATGCCTCCCACACCTTATACGAACAAGATCCTCAGTTGTAATCGCACTGTTGAATCAACAGCGTTGACTGACCTGCTAGAACCCAGAACCACCAAGATGAGCCACCGTCGGAACTGCACAATTCGCTGTCTATTGTGACAAGCCCATCATCTGAAACGTCCTGTGACTTGGAAGCGTCAGAAGACGCGTACCCACCGTTAGGATTCTCACAGTCCTTCCTACAACTTGGCCCACCGCAATCGATATCGATTCTAGCAGTCAAGTTGCTGTCCAGCGACCGAGGCTAGGCAAGTGGTTTTACTCGAGTTGGTTCAGTATCTCATCTGCACATGTTCCTTGACATGTGTAGATGTCGTTGACTATAGCAATATCGGCAGGCGAAAGAGTCCGTCGTTGACCGATTATTTCCCTCCATCTGATCACAGATTGTTACACTTTTTGTTGGATTTCCGCGGCTGGGAAGTTTCTACTGAGGTTCCAATGTGAGTACCGTGGGGGCGCATGGATCTTCTTTACTGTTAACCTGTCTTCACTCTCAGCGCTTATGTCATCTCATTGTCACTTACACTGAACTCGCATTCACCGTAGTGCATGATCGACTCGTAGTCGTATGCTGTGCCTGGTCAAGAGTGACCCAAACTTGGTAGTCACAAGGCGTCACCTCTGACTGCACTCAGCCATGGGCTCTGAACGTTATCCAATCGAAAGAAGTTCTTCTCTTTGTCTTGCGCTATGTTGTTCCACAGAATACTCACGTAGGAGTCTCGATCCTGCAGTATGAATTGATCAGTCAGCCACTTACTGTAAGCGCCCGTCAAAGTTACTGGTCTATTCTGAACGTGGGGAAGGCCAATGGCGTGACCAATCTCATGGATAACGGTACCGAGAGAGGTGCCTGATTCTCAGGGCATCCCGTACGATGTTCCCAGCTGGCTCGGTCTCACACCCATCGCCTAGATTAATAGTATGAATATTGTCAAAGTGAAAGCCAAGCGTCGTAAAGCAGTTCGTTCCTTCACTCTGAACCTGGTAGATATAATAGAAGGATCAACAAGATTCGTCTCGTTAACCAAAAGGAGTCCTGTCGTGTCGGGTGAATACGTATGCTCGCGAAAGCGAACACAAGTGTATCTGATGATGCGAATCTATGATCTCTGGCCGAGATGGGCGCTGTTTACTTCTCCCAGACAGAGACAGCCGCGTTGAATGCCGATTTAGCACAGGGCTGCAGAAATGGATGAAAAGTGTAACTGTTCCGATATAAGACAGTTCACTAGAAGAGTGCTTACTCAATGAAACCACCGGGCCATGAAAACCAAGACCAAGCAGGACTAATACGTACCGCAGTATATTGAGTAGTATCCTACTAAAAGATAGGCATTAATAATAGGTCTAACCTTACCTCATCATTAGAGAGCATTAACGAGGATGATGATATTGTCCCATTAGACCCCATAGGTATGAGCATATCCCCTCCTATTAGGATGTGGCCCTCTGTCTCGGACTTGGTAGAGACCCGTGGCCGATGTCTGAACACATCCAATGGTGGGCATACTTATTGCTATTGGAGGGTGGTGGGGCGCCTATGCCACTTTTGAATATACCTCACCACAATCAATTTCTCTGAGTGGGGCATCTATGCCATTTCTCAATTCACCTTACTGCAATCAATTTCTCTGAGTAGGGCGTCTATGCCACCCCTGAATATACCTCAGCGCAATCCATTTCTCTGAGTAGGGCGCCTATGCCACCCCAGAATATACCTCAGCGCAATCAATTTCTCTGAGTGGGGCGCCTATGCCACCCCTGAATATACCTCAGCGCAATCAATTTCTCTGAGTGGGGCGCCTATGCCACCCCTGAATATACCTTACCACGATGAATTACTCTGAGAATAAACGTGAGGTGGCACCATTTTAATTTTACCATTGGTGGTAAAATTAATAAGAGGTGGCACCTATGCCACCTCTTATTTTACCTTACAACAATCAATTTCTCTGAGTGGGGTGCCTATGTCATTTCTCAATACCACCAGTGTATGACCTCAGTGCAATAAATTTCTCCGAATGGGGCGCCTATGCCACCATGAATTTGCCCTAATGTAATCGTTCCGGAGTCATGCAACAGGGGAAGATATATTCCGTCGACACGGCCGGATCACGCGAAGATCAATTTCGCCGTTAGGAGAGCCAATCTTACCCGGGGGACAAACACCCCATGTTCGAACTCTAGCGCCGCTAACTAGGTTGTTAAGAAGAGCTTCAGCGTGTATATATACAATCCCTGTGCACAATTGCGACCAAGCGGAGTCGACCTCAATAGGAATGAGAGTCATCATCACACTCCATGCAAAGTGGAGTTCTCCCCATCGTGTTGACAAAATCGACTTCTCTATAGCGTGCGGCTGCGCAGTTGGAGGAGTGGCATAGCCGCGCCATGGCGAGAGTTTAAGGTTGCTCAGGACATTGAAAATGTATAAGAAGTAATGAAGGCCTACCTTCTCATATCGGGGGGCGAGTAGAAGAACGTCGATGATGATGAGGTCTCCGTATGGACGACGATAGGGGCCGACAACAGGGACTCGAGAGACAACAAGCGTGATAAAAGCAAAAACATAACAACAAGACTGAATGGAGCATCTACCCCGTGAGACTCTCGATGGGGGATAGTCTGTGATAAGATCATATCCACAGACTAGTACTGGCAGAGAGTGCGGGTCCGGTTTGGTAGGGTTGTACGGGTAACGAAAGCTATTTTTTTGAGTTATCAAATATTAAAGTTATTGAGTGACTCGATTGAAGTCTGCGTTTCCGATAATACTTCTATTCTGCTCCGTTATGAAAACTGCTCGAGCAGATCGAGGCTTGACCGCCGTGCATACTGAGCATCACCGCCACCCAGTGCCCACACATACATCATTCAAAGAGTCAGGAGCGTCGATAAAAGGGTGATCATTGCCAGACAGGGTTGATGGGCATGCCCTGTGGAGAACGGAGAACC